GCTCGTCAGCGTCTACCCAGCTCCCGCAAACGGGACTCAATATGGGAAAACCCAAGTGCCAGTCTTTAGCTCACCTTAAGCGACCTTGGTTGACTAAATTCTTATTCAAGAATCACTGGAAGTCTCGTAACTAAAAGTGAGCAGACTGGAATTGGCCGATTCACTTGACAGCAATTCACAGAAATTAGGCCGAGTCGTCGAATGCAATTGCAAACTCGTGTTTGATTTCGGACAGACAATTAGTCCCTATGCGACTTGGATGAATAAGTTTTTTTTGAAATATTACTGAAAATCTCAAATGCTAATCATATCGAAGATGAGTAATCGAAAACATTTTTGATTGTTGGAAAACTCAACTATCCTCCATAAATGGCCTTAAGCGAGCCCGATTGACTAAGTTCTTGTTCAAGAATTAACTACTACTCACGACTACTTAAAACAGAAATAATAGGCAGCAGACTAGAAATGGTCGACCCTATCTTAAAGTACTTACATCGAATGTAGGTAATGTTGTCGATTTCAATTGTTAACATATGTTTGTTTGTGGGAAAACGTAACTTTCATTCTCTAAACCATCTTAAGTCACTCCAGCTAGCCAACTTCTTATTTAAGCATTACAAATAATGTCGAAGCCTCATTACACCGAAAATCCAGATTCACTTATACACCTTGACTACGCATACATTTGGTCTTTAACTGCTCGCTTGTTGCTCAAGGAACCCCAAGCCATTTTCCCCCGAGGCGGCTCTGAAGTCTGCGGATAGACTCACCCGGACTGGCCTTCACGTTTTGTCGTAGCAAGTCTCGCTCTGCTCAACGGCGACTTGTTGAATCAAGCAGAATTGCGTTTGTCGTCGGGGCAATTAAAATGATGGTTTGGACGAATAAAAGGTCGTCGGCTTGGATTCTTATCTGGCATGCATTTCTTTTCTTATCACCAATCCCTTTTAACTCGCCACCCCAAGCCCGGGCCACACACATTCTGTGCCCGACGCGCGGCAATCCTGGAGACTGTGGAGTTTTCAGTGTGTTCAGATGTGGTGTGTGCACTGGCAGGCGGCATGGGTCTCACGAAGGAGGGGAGAGGAGGAGGAGGAGGAGAAGAGGGAATTTTGGGCTCTGGACACGAGGTGGTGATTTTTCTTTTCTGGGTACAGAGTGTCTTTTCGGCCAGTCGAAATCGCAGATCCCAGTCGATGTTTGTCATTAGGGCCAGACCGGCACAGCAGGCAGGCCGGTTAGGCCCCCTGTAGGTCCTATCCAAGGCCGTACGGTTCTTTTCCCGCCCTGTTCGACCCAGTTGTCCTGCCGTCTCTGCAGGCACTGTCGAATCCAACTGGCTCGCAACATGGACAAATAAATGATTCATCTCTTACTTTTTCTCTTTTTTTCCCTCTTCTTCATGCCTCCTCCGATAAGGCGCTCTCTTCTTTTCAGGCTGCACTCTTGCAACTGCGATAAATTATTTCGTTTTATTTGCAGAGAATACGTCTGCCATGCGTTGGCAGGACTGTTCAGCTGCCTACAGGGGCTCTGATCGAGGGGACACTTTCGCTTTGTCCTCAATTTGGCCGCACACCCAGCTGTGCACCAGTTGAGCCAAGCGATCCTCAAAGATATGAAGACCAAGATGTTGTGGCTTCTGGTATAGTCGCACTTTTGTCAAACGTGTACATGAACAGAATAGAAGAGAGCTTCAAGATGGCACCGCTACAACCGACAGTGCTGATGCGGTACCTGGATGATTACTTCGCACTTTGGTCACATGGAAGAGAAAAACTGGAAGGGTTTCTGAAGCTTGTAAAGCAGATTAATGAAAAAATTCAATTCATGAAGGAAGTAGAGGAAGGTGAGCGGTTACCGTTCCTGGACGTTGAAGTGATTTGCTCTAATGGGACGCTCAAACAGAAAGTGTTTAGAAAGAAGTCCTATGCTGGGATAATACTCAAGTTCCGGTCCCATCACAATTACAAGCT